ATCTGTGTTTTATAGTTTTCTATATATAGAAAACTTTTTGCTTCTTTAGATTGATTTATTCCAAAGTATTTTTTTGTTGTTGTTGCAATGGTGAATGGAATTGTTTCCTTAATTTCTTTTTCTGTTTTCTCATTGTTAGTGTATAGGAATGCAAGGGATTTCTGTGTGTTACTTTTATATCCTGCAACTTTACTATTTTCATTGATTAGCTCTAGTAATTTTCTGGTGGAATCTTTAGGGTTTTCTATGTAGAGGATCATGTCATCTGCAAACAGTGAGAGTTTTACGTCTTCTTTTCCAATCTGGATTCCTTTTATTTCTTTTTCTTCTCTGATTGCTGTGGCACTCACACCTATGCATAGATCAACTAAACAGAAATTAGCAAGGAAACACAAACTTTAAATGATATAATGGATCAGTTAGACCTAACTGATATCTATATAAGCATTTTAAAAGTACTTCTTTGGGAAAGACATTTTTTTCTTTTACTTATTTTTTTAAAACTAATTTTTAATTGAAGGATAATTGCTTTACAATATTAGTTTGATTTCTACTATACATCAACATGAATTAGTCACAAGTGTACCTATGTCCCCTCTTACTTTTTATTGTGCAATTAAAGTGACCCAGGTACATTTCATCAAAGACCAACATCTTTTACTAGTATAATATCAAAACCAGAAAATTGATATCGATACAATACAGAGGACTAGACTATAGACTTTAATCAATCTTGACCTTTTTAAAACCCTACATTCATGTGAGTATGGTTCACATGTGCATGCATCTAGTTCTTTGCAATTGGATGTCATTAATAGACTCACAACAACCATCAGGACACAGAACTGCTTTGTTACCTCTAAGAAGCTCTAATACTGTCCCTTTAGACTTCAGTATCACGGTAATCCAAGTCTGTGCCCTGACCAGTAATGCTGAAGAAGCCAAAGTTGAACGGTTCTATGAAGACCTACAAGACCTTCTAGAACTAACACCCAAAAAAGATGTCCTTTTCATTATAGGGAACTGGAATGCAAAAGTAGGAAGTCAAAAAACACCTGGAGTAACAGGCAAATTTGGCCTTGGAGTACAGAAGGAAGCAGGGCAAAGGCTAATAGAGTTTTGCCAAGAGAACACACTGGTCATAGCAAACACCCTCTTCCAACAACACAGGAGAAGACTCTACACATGGACATCACCAGTTGGTCAATATTTAAATCAGATTGATTATATTCTTTGCAGCCAAAGGCAGAGAAGCTCTATACAATCAGCAAAAATAAGACCGGGAGCTGACTGTGGCTCAGATCATGAAACCCTTATTGCCAAATTCAGACTTAAATTGAAGAAAGTAGGGAAAACCACTAGACCACTGAGGTATGACCTAAATCAAATCCCTTATGATTGTACAGTGGAAGTGACAAATTAATTGAAGGGATTAGATCTGATAGACAAAGTGCCTGAAGAACTATGGATGACATTGTTCATGACATTGTACAGGAGACAGGGATCAAGTCCATCCCCAATAAAAAGAAATGCAAAAAAGCAAAATGGCTGTCTGAGGAGGCCTTACAAATAGCTGAAAAAAGAAGGGAAGCAAAAAGCAAAGGAGAAAAGGAAAGATATACCCATTTGAATGCAGGGTTCCAAAGAACAGCAGGGAGAGCAAAGAAAGCCTTCCTTAGTGATCAGTGCAAAGAAATAGAGGAAAACAATAGAATGGGAAAGACTAGAGATAACCTCAAGAAAATTAGAGATACCAAGGGAATATTTCATGTAAAGATGAGCACAATAATGGACAGAATTGGTATGGACCTAACATAAGCAGAAGATATTAAGAAGAGGTGGCAAGAATACACAGAAGAACTATACAAAAAAGATCTTCACGATTCAGATAATCACGATGGTATGATAACTCACCTAGAGCCAGACGTCCTGGAATGTGAAGTCAAGTGGGCCTTAGGAAGCATCACTTCGAAGAAAGCTAGTGGAGGTGATGGAATTTCAGTTGAGCTATTTCAAACCCTAAAAGATGATGCTGTGAAAGTGCTGCATTCAATATGCCAGCAAATTTGGAAAAGTCAGCAGTGGGTACAGGACTGGAAAAGGTCAGTTTTCATTCCAATCCCCACGAAAGGCAATGCCAAAACAGCTGCACAATTGCACTCATCTCACACGCTAGCAAAGTAATGCTCAAAATTCTCCAAGCCAGGTTTCTACAGTACGTGAACCGTGAACTTCCAGATGTTCAAGCTGGTTTTAGAAAAGGCAGAGGAACAGAGATCAAATTGCCAGCATCCGTTGGATTATTGAAAAAGCAAGAGAGTTCCAGAAAAACATTAATTTCTGCTTTATTGCCTATGCCAAAGTCTTTGACTGTGTGGATCACCATAAACTGTGGAAAATTCTGAAAGAGATGGGAATACTAGGCCACTTGACCTGCCTCTTGAGAAATCTGCATGCAAGTCAGGAAGCCACAGTTAGAACTGGACATGGAACAACAGACTGCTTCCAAATCGGGAAAGGAGAACATCAAGGCTGTATATTGTCACCCTGCTTATTTAACTTATATGCAGAGTACATCATGAGAAATGCTGGGCTGGAGGAAGCACAAGCTGGAATCATGATTGCTGGGAGAAATCTCAATAACCTCAGATATGCAGATGACACCACCCTTATGGCAGAAAGTGAAGAACTGAAGAGCCTCTTGATGAAAATGAAAGAGGAGAGTGAAAAAATTGACTTAAAACTCAACATTCAGAAAACTAAGATCATGGCATCCAGTCCCATCACTTCATGGCAAGTAGATGGGTAAACAGTGGAAACAGTGAGAGACCTTATTTTTTTGAGCTCCAAAATCACTGCAGATGCTGACTTCAGCCATGAAATAAAAGACACTTGCTCCTTGTAAGAAAAGTTATGATCAACTTAGACAACATATTAAAAAGCAGAGACATTACTTTGCCAATAAAATTCCATTTAGTCAAGGCTATGGTTTTTCCAGTAGTCATGTATGGATGTGAGAATTGGACCATAAAGAAAGCTGGGTGGTGAAGAATTGATGATTTGGAACTGTGGTGTTGGAGAAGACTCTTGAGAGTCCCTTGGATGGGAAGGAGATCCAATCAGTCCATCCTAAGGGAAATCAGTCCTGAATATTCATTCAAAGGACTGATGCTGAAGCTCAAAGTCCAGTACTTTGGCCATCTGATGGGAAGAACTGACTCATTGGAAAAGATCCTGATGCTGGGAAAGATTGAAGGCGGGAGGAGAAAGGAATGACAGAGGATGAGATGATTGGATGGCATCACTGACTCAATGGATGTTAGTTTGAGTAAACTCTGGGAGTTTGTGATGGACAGAGAGGGCTGGCGTGCTGCAGTCTATGGTGTTGCAAAGAGTCAGACACGACTGAGCAACTGAACTGAACTGAGACTCACACCTCCCCGAAAATCCTCTTCTCCATAAAGCAGCATCAAATGTTGTCAAAATCAACTTTTTCAGTACTCTAAAAGCTAATAAAAAATATGCCACCACCCATGGACCATTTAATAAAGAAAAATATGTAAAAAGGATTATATACTGTGATGAGGTGTGATTTATATCACATTTAAGAAAACATTGACAAACCCCAAATCATGAAGATTTAATCTTATGTTTTCATCTAAAAGTTTTAGACTTTTAGCTTTTACAGTTAGGTTTTTTTTTTTTTTTTTGGAGGGACTAGTTCTTTATTTCAAAAAGACATTTATCAATTTTCAGTATCAAAACAGTTACACTATTCATTTTTTTTTTCTCCCAGTTGGTCCCCAAAGAGACCACACCAAAGGAGAGAACATTTTAAGCCAATTAAGCTGCAGGATGCACACCTACCAGACCTCACTGAAACCTCATCAAAAAAGGGGGATTGGGTAGGGAAAGAAACTTTAAAAGATCAGCACACTGCTAGCCCACAGACTATAGAGAGCTCTCACAGTCAGAGGGGTGACCAGTGTGCCTCAACCCCAAAGAAGCAAAGTTCCAGAATAATATAAAATCTAAAAAGTTTTGTACATAAGATTTTCAAGATTTCTCCAGCACTGATACAAAGCACAATGAGATGGCACTTTTAGAGACAGCAGCTTCAGACTCAGAAAAGAGTGATGAGATGAATTTCATATGGCTAAATCAGTGGCAAAACATAATTTTCTTTCCTTTCAAGGAGGCAGGAGAGCAAATAAGTGGTCACTTCAACATAAAGGGCACATGATCCATTCTGTGAGCAGTTGGGCACAGGGTAGAGCTGGGACAAGGATTTGGTCTCAGAGGTTTCACCATCTTAATTGTTTGGTCACTTCTGATGAAGAAAAAAAAAAAAAGTTGTCCAAAGATACCGTAAAGCTGAAAACCTGAACAGCGCTTTTTTTGTTTTTGGCTAACTCCTCCTGGAATCATCTTTCTGGTTTGGCGGGTACTTTTTACAGAGCAATGAGGTTTCCCCAAATGGAACCTCTATCTGGGCTGCTAGGCTCTCAGTAAGGCAGGCCCAAACCTTTTCCCTTTCTCTCTGGAGAAGGCAATATGCATTAAGCTGAAATGTTACCTTCCAAAAGTGAGAAAGGGATTAGACTGCTGCTTCAGAACTACGGAATTATCTGGAATGTTTTTTACAAATGGTTGTTACATCAACAACAAAAAAGGTAATTACAAAATGTGTACATCACAACATGCTTTTAAAGACACTTTGCATTGCGCTCACATTCCCTTAAACGTCGTTTCCAAAGGTGCTCAGCCTCTAGCCCAACTGGAATCTCTGGGGAGAGGCAGAGACAGTTTGGCGAAAAGGACGCAGGAGTAAGGGGATGGGAGAGGCGGCGAAAGGAGAAAGCAGCCTTCCAGTTAAAGATCAGCCCTCAGTTTAAAGGTGAGCTTCGGGCAGGCTGGCCTCAGCGGCGTCGGGGTGAGAGGGAGGAGCAGCGGCAGGGCGGGACTGGGGTGTTCTACATCTCATTCAGGTCAGGCAGAGCCTAGTCCAGCATCCTTTGTGTACAGAGGTGCTCCTCTTTGGTGCATTTCAGTTTGGCTTCCAAATCATCAGTTGTCTTTTCCAGGTTGGCTACCGATCTCTCAGCAAGCTCAGCACGTGTCTCTGCCTCCTTGAGTTTATCGGTAAGAATCTTTATCTCTTCCTCATATGTGTCTTCTTTTTGAGGGTACTTTTCTGCAGCAGCACTCAGACACTTCAGGTGCTGGTCCATCAGTCTGATTTGCTCATCCATCTCTCGGCAACGGGACTCTGCCAGCTCGGCCCGCTCCTCTGTGCGTTCCAAGTCTCCCTCAATAATCACCAACTTGCGAGCCACCTCTTCATACTTCCTGTCTGCCTCTTCTGCAGTGCGCTTAGCTTCTTTGAGTTGGATTTCCCGGAGTTCCATTTTTTCTTCATCTTTTAAGGCTTGGTTTTCAACAACCTTCATACCTCTCTCGCTCTCATCAGCAGCTTTCTCAGCTTCCTCCAGCTTTTGCAGGGCAGTGGCCAGGCGCTCTTGAGCTCGGTCCAGCTGGAACCTACGGTTCAAGGAGGCCACCTCAGCCTCAGCCTGTTCTCGGGCCCGCCTTTCCCCCTCCACTTCCCGCTGGAGGCGCTCCGCCCTCTCCTCTGCATCATCGGCTTGCTGCTGCAGAACCTGGATCTTGCGCTTCACCGCCTCGATGGTGGTGATCCCGGCCACGGTCCCCATCCAGCGCCTGCTTGCCTTCGGGGTCCTGCCTCCTCCGCTCGGAGTTGCAGCCGCTTCTCACCCCTACTTCCGCCTGCTCCGCCCTGAAATACCGGAACTCTACAGTTAGGTTTTTATAATAATTTTGAGCTAATGTTTGTGTGCCAGCACCACACTGTCTTTGTATAATTTTGTACTTTTAAAATCAAATAAAAAAGTATGAGTCCTCCAGTCTTGGGTTTTTGAAAAAATTATTTTTTCAGTTCTGAATCCTTCAATTTTTGTATAGATTTTAGGATCTGCATCTTGAATTATGAAAAAACAAGCAGCTAGAATCTTGATAGAAATTTTATTGATTCTGTAGATCAATATGGAGACTATTGCCATCTTAACAGTATTGAGTCTTCTGATCCATGAACATTGGATGTTTTTATATTAACATTTATTTAGAAATTCTTTAAACTCTTTCTAGAAGGCTTTATGGTTTTCAGTGTACAAAGCTTCCAATTCTATTTAAGTGTTTTATTCTTTTGATGCTACTGTAAATGGAATCATTTTATTAATTTTACTTCAGTTGTTCAGTACTTCATATTTTCCAGTCTGGATACCTTTTATTTCTTTTCTTGCCTAATTTCCTTGGCTGGAGCATCCAGCAAAATGATGAATAGAAGTGACAGTACTGACAATCCTACGTGCAGGGCAGCAAAGAGACACAGATATAAAGAACAGACTTTTGGACTCAGTGGGAGAAGGCAAGGGTGGAATGAGTTGAGAGAATAGCATTGAAATGTGTACATTACCATGTGTAAGATATGTGACCAATGCAAGTTTGATGCATGGAGCAGGGCACCCAAAGCTGGTGCTCTGGAACAACCGAGATGGATGCAGTAGGGAGGGAGATGGGAGGGGGGGTTCAGGATAGTGGGGACACATGTATACCTGTGGCCGATTCATGTTTGATGTATGGCAAAAACCATCACAATATTGTAAAGTAATTATCCTCCAATTAAAATAAATTAATTGAAAAAAATAAAGAAGTGGTGAGAGCAGACAGCTTTGTCTTGCTCCTCATCTTATGGAGAAAGCACCCAGTAAGTCATTCACCATTAAGTAGGATGTTCACTGTGGGGGTTTTGCACACAGTCTTGATCACATTGAGGAAATCTTTTGTATTCTAGTAGGCTTCTATAGGTCAGGAAGCAACAGTTAGAACTGGACATGGAACAACAGACTGGTTCCAAATAGGAAAAGGAGTACATTAAGGTTGTATATTGTCACCCTGCTTATTTAGCTTATATGCAGAGTACATCATGAGAAATCCTGGGCTGGAAGAAGCACAAGCTGGAATCAAAATTGCCAGGAGAAATATCAGTAACCTCAGATATGCAGATGACACCACCCTTATGGCAGAGAGTGAAGAGGAACTAAAAAGCCTCTTGATGAAAATTAAAGAGGAGAGTGAAAAAGTTGGCTTAAAGCTCAACATTCAGAGAACTAAGATCATGGCATCTGGTCCCATCACTTCATGGCAAATAGATGGGGAGACAGTGGAAACAGTGTCAGACTTTATTTTTTGGGGCTCCAAAATCACTGCAGATGGTGATTGCAGCCATGAAATTAAAAGATGCTTACTCCTTGGAAGGAAAGTTATGACCAACCTAGATAGCATATTAAAAAGCAGAGACATTACTTTGCCAACAAAGGTCCATCTGGTCAAGGCTATGGTTTTTCCAGTGGTCATGTATGGATGTGAGAGTTGGACTGTGAGGAAAGCTGAGTGCCGAAAAATAGACGCTTTTGAACTGTGGTGTTGGAGAAGACTCTTGAGAGTCCGTTGGACTGCAAGGAGATCCAACCAGTCCATCCTAAAGGAGATCAGTCCTGGGTGTTCATTGGAAGGACTGATGCTGAAGCTGAGATTCCAGTACTTGGCCACCTCATGCGAAGAGCTGACTCATTGGAAAAGACTGTGATGCTGGGAGGGATTGGGGGCAGGAGGAGAAGTGGATGACAGAGGATGAGATGGCTGGATGGCATCACCGATTCGATGGGCATGAGTTTGAGTAAACTCCAGGAGTTGGTGATGGACAGGGAGGCCTGGCATGCTGCAATTCATGGGGTCGCAAAGAGTCGGACACAACTGAGCTACTGAACTGAACTGAACTGAGGCTTCTATAGGAAGTCTTCTATATTCTGCTAGTTTATTGAATATTTTATTATGAAAAGGTATTGATTTTTTAAAATGGTTTTCTGTATTTATTGAGATTATAATGTAGACTTTGTTCTTAATATATTAATATGTTTTATAAAATTAATTGATTTTGGAGTACTAATTTGACCTTGCATTTCTGGCATAAATCCCACTTGGTCATGGAGTATACCCCTTTTCCTTTGTTGCTAGATTCAGTTTGATAGTATTTTACTGAGAATGTGTATAAATATATATATAGATAGCTACATAGTGGCATGGGGATCTTAGTTCCCCAAGCAGGGGTTGAACCCATGCCCCCTGCATTGGAAGTACAGAGTCTTAACCACTGGACCACCAGGGAAGTCCGTTTACTGAGAATTTTTATGTATATATTTTATGAGACAATAATCTGTAGTTTTCTTGTGATGATATTTTCTGTCTTTGATATCGGGGAAATACCTCAAAGAATGAATTGAGAAGTATCCCCTCCTCTTCTATTTCTGGAAGAATTTGTGAATAATACTAATTCTTCTTTAAATTTCTGGTGGAATTTACCATTGAAGTCATCTGTGTTGTGCCAAGTCACCTCAGTAGTGTCTGATTCTTTGGAACCCCGTGGACTGTAGCTCCCAGGCTCCTCTGTCCATGGGGTCCTCCAGGCAAGAATACTGGAGTGGGTTGCCATGCCTTCCTCCAGGGGATCTTCCTGACCCAGGGATTAAACCTGCATCTCTTGTCTCCTGCATTGGCAGGCAGGTTCTTTACCACTAGTGCCACCTGCAAAGTCAACTAGTCCTAGGCTTTTCTTTGTGGAAAGTCTTAAAAATCACTACTCCAATCTTTTGTAATGGATCTAATCAGACATTCTCTTTCTCCCTCTTTCTCCTTGAGTCTGGGTTCTCTGTGCCTTTCTCAGAGCCTGTCCATTTCACTTATATTATCTCATTTGCTGAAATGCCATTGTTCATAGTATTCCCTCATAAACCCTTTTTTTTTTTTTTTTTTGGTAAATCACTCCAGATTCTTTTTTTTTTTTCCCACTGTCAGTCTAGTTAAAGATTTGTCAATTTTGTTGGTATTTTCAAAGAACTAACTTTTGGTTATTTTCTCTATTTTGTATTCTATTCTTTTATTTTACTGATTCACTGTAATCTTTATCAACTCCTTCCTTTTGTTTATTTTGGGTTTAATTTATTTTCTTTCCTATTGTTAAAGGTCATTGTTGATTTGAGAATTTTATATTTCTTCATGTAGGTATTTGAAATTATAAAGTTACTTTTAATACTTGCTTTAACATATCATGTTTTGATGTGTGATGATGTTTTATGATGTTTTCATTTATCTCAAAGTATTTTCTAATTTACCTTGTCATATTTTCTTTGACCCACTGGTTACTTGCTTTCCATATATTTATAACTTCACCCATTTGTTATTTACTTCCTATATATTTGTAAATTTCTGAGATTTTATTCTATTATTCATTTCAGACTTAATTCCATTTTGGCTAAAGGGTATCATTGATATGATTTCAATTCTTTAAATTTATTGAGGTTATTTTTTGACATCACATGTGGTCTATTCTAGAGAACATCCCATGTGTTCTAAAGAAAAATGTGTATTCTGCTGTTGTTGGACAGAGCATTCCATAGACCTGAGGTCTAGTTGGTTTATGGTATTGTGCCAGTCTTGTTTGTCATTGTTTATCTTCAACTATATCTATTACTGAAATGGATTATTAAAGTACTCTTCTTGCCATTGTTATTGTCTATTTCTCCTCTTCAATTCTGTCAATTCTTGCTACATGAATTTTGGACTATGTTTTCGATGGATATATGTTCATAATGAATTGCCTCTTTTATAATTTTTGAATGTCCTTCTTTATCTCTAGTAATATTTTAACATGCATTTTGTCTGGTATTGGTATAGCTACTCCAGTTCTTCTGTGGTTTTCTTGGTGTATGTTTTTCTACATCCTTTTACTGTTTGTATCTTTTAATTTAAAGGGTGTCACTTGGGGACAGTAAGTAGTAGGATCTTTGTTTTGTTTTATCTAGTCTGATAATGCCTGTGTTTTAATTATGTTTTAACCATTCATAATTTTTCTGTTGGTGAAGGGGTTATGATACTGCAAAAATTACTGTGACACAGAGACATAAAATGAGCAAATGCTGTTGGAAAAATGGTACTAATAAGACTTTCTTGGCACTGGATTGCCACAAACCTTCAATTTATTTAAAAAAAAAGAAAAGAAAAAGCAAAATCTGCAAAACATAATAAAGTGAGGCACAGTAAAATGAGATATGCCTGTATAAATCTTATCAAAGTGGACTCCAGATTTATATTAACTTAAATTAGGAATATATAGAAACTTTACTCCTTTATAGTTCTCTTTTCTCCCCCCTTTTGTTGTATTATTACTGTGCATATTGCATGTGTCCTAAATTGCTTCAGTTGTGTCTGACTCTTTGCGACACTATGGACTGTGACCCACCAGATTCCTCTGTCCGTGGGATTCTCCAGGCAAGATTACTGAAGTGGCTTGCTCTGCCCTCCTTAAGAGGATCTTCCAGACCCAGGGATTAAACTTGAGGCTCTTATGTCTCCTGCATTGTCATTGGCAGGTGGATTCTTTGCCACTAGTGCCAGTTAGGAAGCCTGCATGTGTGTGTGTGTGTGTGTGTGTGTGTTACAAACCCAATAACACATTGCCATAATTATTAATTTACATAATTGATGTCCTTTAAAGAATCTTAGGGAAGAAAGAAGAGCAAGCATATAGTTATTGTTCAGTCAGTTCAGTTCAGTCACTCAGTTGTGTCCAACTTTTCGT